TGTGTAATACATATTTCGGAATGAATTAACGATGTATATATGACATAATAGTTTAAGTAAGTCTATCTATATGGCTGTAATACATATCATATGGTATAATATGTTAATAATACTTAATATTATTGTTTTCATGAATCATGTTATCATAATATCATTCAGTGCAACCTCCAATGAATTAACGGTTCAAATAGTTTAATTTAACTGTATATAATTATAGATAGGTAGGTAGTTCATAATAATTGTCTATGATATAATATATATAGTTAAGTGCTTCACATTTTGCTTATGTTTAGGTAGATATCTATGTCATATAGGGCATATACCGTACCGTTATCGCCAAAATTTGAAGTGACATTTCTCCGGAGTTGGTAAATTTCTCCATCTCCCGTTTCCGCCAATCTATACCTGCTATTATAGTACTATGGTATAATTTATTATATATTAATATTTTGTATTAATTTCAGTATTATTCCTATTATTTTTAAGGTATACTTAATTCTTAACTTGAAATAATTGTACATGGTTTATATGATCACATTATAAATATTGGAAAATAAATTTATTACTAATAAGTAATAATGATAAAGTAAAAGTCATTTATTTATAAATAGGTACAGTAGTTTTATGGAGTGCATAATGTTCTATTATCTGTGCTGTGGTTTCAATCTTATCGATTTATATACGATGATTCYATATTTATGTTATATATTATATTATATTACACAATATGTATAAAATACCTAATATATATTGTATGTATCATATATGTACTATGTGTGCATTTAAAGTTGACACTATCATAGATTAATGTGTACAACTATCGCATATCGCTCGTTGATATATARCATTGCCTTACATCACGTGTACTTAAATTCTCAAATTAATTAAAACATTTTTACCATCCACATGCTGAACAAAAACACTTAGGATTTATGAGCTATGAAGATTTTACTTTTTTACCAAAAATACCAAAAATATGGAATATATTATAATAATTATTCCATAGCAAGTAGATTGGTGAAAACGGGAATCGGAACTTTTTTAAGT